TCCCCCCTCCGCTGCCCCTTCCCGCCCTCGCCCTCCCTCCGGTTCCTGCACCGAGAGTGAGAAAAGCACAACCTCAGGGAGACCTGGCCCTGTGCACAGATACCTGCTTTCCCCCAGCGGGAGCCCCGGAGGAGGAAACCGGCCCCTTCCCTCGCCCTCCGGCGCCGGGGCCGCTGGCGTCGGAAGCCTTCAGACCCTCCGTGTGCCCGCAGGCACCTGTCCCGCCCGGAGGCAGCTCTCGTAGACTGAGCACCCCCCCTCCGACTCAAGTACATTTTGTGGACATAAGCATCTTTTTAACTTTTTAAAGAACTTGGGGGGGGGAGGGTTTGTTTGTGTGTGTGTTTTTGTTTTATTTTTTTCTCTTTTCTCTGAGATTTTTTACGAGCTTCCCCTTAGTTGAATACTGCTTCTTCCACCTCACATAGCGCTGGCTCTGTTTTTCCTGGTACTGTAGTATGGGGATCGAATCAAAATTGAGATTTTAAGCATTGCAGGAGCCCTTAAGTCCATCCACCTGTTAAAAGTGAGCAGGGCTGTTTCTGTCTTCTTTTTCCCCCACGTCGCCTGTTGGATGTGATGGAACTCATGTTCGCAGAGTGGGAGGACGGGGAGAGGTTTTCATTTGAAGACTCTGATCGCTTTGAAGAAGACTCTCTTTGTTCCTTCATCTCTGAGGCAGAGAGCCTTTGCCAGAACTGGAGAGGATGGAGGAAGCAATCGGCTGGACCCAATTCTCCCACTGTCAAAATGAAAGGTGAGGTCACTCAGTTTCACTGGGATGCTGTTTGGACTCGTGGAAGTTGTAGGGCAAGGGAGATTAGTGGGTGAGAATGAATGTCAAAGTTGTAGAGAAGTCACATGTAGGATCAGTGTCAGAATAACTTTTGACCAAAGATTGGAACTGAAAATTTTCTGGGCATCTTAAGACAAAGATGTCTTTTGCGTGAGTTTTCACCTACATGCGCTCTGCAGTGTTGTAGTGCTGCTTTTCTGAGTATATTTGGTGCTCTTGCTCTTGGAAATCTGAAAACAGTTTTCTATACAAATTACAGACTTGGTTTGGAATAACTATACATAGGTTCTTACTTGCTTTGATTGAAATACACTAAGGTTTCACAGAGGTTTTTGTAACTCATAAAACTACTCATGTAGAGGCATTGTAAGCCATCATTGTCTAGAGCAGCCTGTTTTCCTTACCTGTTTCTTTAAATTTTACCTTTTTCTAGTAAATTAGCAAACTTTTGCAGTAGTAGGGCAAGAGGGCCTTAAGACTGTCTCAAGTCATCGGACTTAAGTGTGTCTGCCTCAGGAGTTGTTATATTTCTTTTGATAGTAATTTATTTTTAATAGCAGGCAGGAAAATAGATAACGTTAGCAAATTAAAAATATTAAAAATTATATAGCTACTAATTTTTTTTTTTAATCTGAAGCATAATTTCACTTTAATCCTGATGTATCATGACCCTAGAATTAAGGTGGTGTTTACACTAAGCAGAGCTAGATATAGAGTTAGCAGGAATTACACAAGCTCTTTCTACTCCTAATTTTATCCCCTTTATTTTCTTTCAATCCAGTGTTAGTACTTTTCCTGTTATTGCTGACCTTTGTGACCATCACTTGCCTCATTAATATCTCCCTAGCTGGAACTGCAAAACTTCGTTCTCCTTTGAATGTTAGACTTACGTGACCAGAGAATGCAATTTATATTGAATTGTGCTGAAATCTGGCTGTGTTATACTATGGACAAATGTTCACTTGTCACTGGATTAAGAAAGTACACTTTGCATTAATCGTAGGCTTTCCAGAGTGGCTTGAGTTCTAAGTTTTTAATAAATTTGAGAAATGTCCCTAGTTGTGTGAATGTAACCACCTGTGTCTCCCGACTAGTCAGGATTAGAGTTGAGGGTAGGATGGAAACTTTTAAAAAAACCAACCCAAAACAAAGAGAGAGAAATGCTGAATACATGTCCGAGTTGCATAGCTCTCTTGGATCCTGCTGCCAGGACACATTGATTTTAGTTTGGAACATTCTGCTGATGTAAAGAAGGGGAACAGTGTTGGTGTTGGTTTTTTTAAGGCTATGAATCCTTAGATGTAGAAATAAACATTGGGCACAGGGCAAAGCATATAAACTTCATGTTTTGCTTTAAGTCTTCTTGCATAGGTTAACTTGCTGGAAAGGAGCCGAAGTTTTGAAAACATACTGCTGTGGAAATAGACATCTATAGCTTGGCAGAGGTGTATGAAACTCGTTTCTACAGATCTACAAGTCAGACTGATGTTTGAAAAGGTGATCGTTTTTGTTCAACTTCGAGATGCTTTTAGCCAGTTCTCCACTGGTTCAGCATACAACTGTGTGTTTTTCTGGGTCTTGGCCTAGTTCCTTTAGCTCTCTTGACCGAAATAAAAGCAAACAGCGATTGCTCTCTCTGCTGTCATCGACCTGTTGCATTAAAATGAAGAATCACTAGATTGTGCATATTTTCAATCCTCAGCCTCTTTCCTGACATGAGAAACACAGTAGCTGACATTATTGTTGTGATAATTGTAATCATTTACACCATAGTGAGATGTTGCTGTTTGGGGTTCTGCAAACCTGCATAAGGAGGGGTTGTATCGCTGGTACTTGGTTCATATTTTTCAGATTTTATGTGTAGAGAGACTTAATTCCTTTGTACAAAAGTCTTACTTTAACAAGAGAGACATTCTGAAAGGATACTGGTGCCTGCTTTAAGGCTTTTGCTGGCAATTTCCAGGCTCTGGTCAGAGTTATTTTGAGAAGTATGTGAACATGGATTTGCTGCCTAAATAATTATTTATCCACTCAACAAAGTCACATATGATATTACCAACATGGAACACTTGCAGCAACTTTACTGTATGCAGTGTGTTGCCAGCAAGTCTGGTCTGATGAGAGATCTGTCATCATCAGGGTTCTCCTTCAATTTGAGAACTCCCATACCAATTTAAATTATTTTTAACACGTCTTTTTTACTGTGTTTTTGTAGTCATAAAAGTTTGTATTAAGAACTTGCTGGATCCTGAGGGTGTCTGTTGTAGTGAGTCTTCTAAAATGTGATCATTCTGAATTGAGCCGTGTGTTTTTATTTCCACAGTTTATAATTTTTCAGTGGCCTGTGATGTAGTTTGCAACTATGCAAACAAGAAATGATGTTAGACACTGAATTCTTTGGTGTTAAATGCTAAGAGAAAACAAGGGGAATGATATTCTGGTAGTTTTTTCCTCCAGTTTGGAGCTCAGCCTGTGTTTTGATTTGGAATCAGCCAGACAAGTTATCTAATAGAAAGGATTTCTAGCTTTTTCAATTGTTTCCAGTTCATCCTTTTGAGCATCCAGTTCCTCATTAATTAGTTCAAAGAGAATCCTCCTGAGACTGATGGAAGTGCTGTTGACTGGGGAGTCCTATTCTTAAACAAACTGCCTACACATCCATTATGGTTTTCTTACTTTTTGCAACTTTTAATTTCCTACTTGGGCATTTTTAATATTATGATTACCTTTACTGTAAATTTAACAATAAGGCTTGGGGTAGCTTGCAAATATACACAGTATTCACTGTGGTCACCAGAGAGGGTCACCAGAAAGTTGAGTTACTTGCTTGTTTGTCAGTTACCCCATCAGCTTGCTAGAAAGATGATGAAAGATGGAGAAAAATCTCTGAGTTCCTCTAATATGATCTTGGAATGGAATTCTTTATAAGATCAGGTTAACTTGAGTAGTTACATCAGAAAAATGGGACTGTAACTGGTTGATTTTCCCTCATTTAATTTTCACTGTGGTAAAGTCTTCATATATTACTTTTCGGAAGGGAGTTTTGTCTTTAAATGTGGAGGAGGAATGCATTGCATCCACTTTATGGATGCTCTTAGACTTTGAAACTGCTCTCAGTCTCCGCTGATTCACCTGTAGTGAAATCTCAGAGGAGACTTCAGCAAAGCATGTCAGTTTTGGGAATACCAAGATTCCTTTCATAATTTTGAATGCTTATTTGAGGAATGGCTTGTTCTCTCATTAGACTGCCTTTATTGCTTTTTTTCCTTTTTTTTATTCCTTTTTTCCATTTTGAATGAGGTGATGCTTGTAATTGATATTTAGCTGTTGCCTGTATATATCATTGATAAGAAGCTTTCATCTGTACTAGGCAGACAGGGGGTTCATTTCTGAAGTTAAAGTGAATGGGTGTTTTGAAGAACAAGATCTTGCAGTGTATTCAGAACCATCCGGTTCCCTGAGTTGGTTTGTGGCTCCAACTCACCTTTTTCCATATCAAATTATATTCCACCTATTTTTTACCTTTTTACCAATGAATGCACCCACTTGCCTTTTCTCCACTTTTCTGGATAGGCTTTTCTTTCCCAGAAACTGTTATGAGACCCACTATGATCTTCTCCTTTTCCCTTCTCACTTTTTAGAACAGTTGTATTTTTCATTGTAAATGAAAGAAGCCCAGTGTTTCTGCAAGTGTTTTGTTCTCAGTTATCTTCACATAAGGATTTTTGTGACAGAGGTTTTAGGAATAAATGTTCAAGTATGCTCATTATCTCTCCAAACCCACTGTGGCTTTGTTTCTTCTTGAAAGCTCCTTATCTCTTTCCCACTCTTAGTCCTTTCTATTTCACAGTTTCTGAAGCATAAATGTTTACCAAACACTTAAGAAGTTGCCATAAATACTGTAGGATTGCTAAATAGTGTGTTCACAATATTTTTGCTCAGTTTGTATTTATTCATTCACACTGGCTTCTGGTGGAAGTGTGCTGATGAGTTGTGTTGAAACTATTTTCAATAGGCAGCTAGTGAGAAAGATTTTTTTTTTTTCCTTTCCTTTACTGTAAGCTTGAACCACTGTATACTGTATTGCAAGACACCCTCAGACTTAACTAAGAATTGATGAAGGCAGTGATCTCCTAGAAAACATTCTCATTATTCAGCCCCAGACAGTTTATGTTCTTCCAAACTGTTAGGAGTGCCCACAATGTTAAATTCTGGGCACAGTGCCTCAAAAATGCAAGCTGTAGAGAGGGAATCATTGGTAGAGAATAGACAGAGCCTGAGGTGACGATATGGTGAGTTTAGAGAGACAACCTGATCACAGTCTGAGCAGTGTCTACACTGGTAAAATGACAGTTACTGATCTTCATTAATTTATACAGACAAAGAAGAAATGGCTTAGAGCGCAACACTTCTTCCTCAGGATTGCCAATAACTAATAAATTAAAAATAACCCTTCTTCAAGCAGTAATTGCAGAAACTTGTAGTCTCTTTCACATTCATACTATGCTCTTCAGACTCGTTCTTTTTGGAGAAGAATGTTGGTGTCATCCAAAGTGTGTCTGCTCCTTGAGCCTGCTGAAGCTGGAAATGAAGACTGTGGTTTACTGCTCTTTTGTTACTATTACTGCGTATTATAAAGTTACAATTGTTTTTTCTTTCTACTTTATTTGTGCCTCTGGTATTAAGAGGGAGATTATATAATCAACTCACACTTCTGGGAGGTACAGGTGTAATATGTCTTTTGTTGTGTTTTTTTAATTTAGTACAACACATAACAAATCTGTTTTAGCTCAGATATATCTGTTGTAATATATCCAAGTTCACTAAAAACATTAAAAATCCAAAACAGTAACTGTTGAGCAAAAGTATGGTATAGCTCCTTAATGACTTTCTTTATAGAAGCAACAGAATTTTAAAAATATGAATGTTGGTGAGAAGATATCACAAATGTTTGTGAAATA